ACTGACCACACCTGCCCAGAACCTCCCACGGGATACAGCATGACATGGCCAAACCCTGTGGGGTCTATCTGTCCTGGGACGGGGAGCCCCTCAGTCCTAACTGTGACATCTGACAGGGTCTTGGATAACTTCCTGTGCTGACCTGAGGCCACTTACCTCCAGACTGAAAAGCTCACCTTCCTGAGTCACTGGTGGAGGACGTGAGGGACAGCACGGCTAGCCACCATGTTCCACTTTCTCTCGTGGCTGACAGAAGTGGCAAAGTAAGGCTGGGATTCCCCCTGTTGTGATGTGAGGGGTTCCCTCAGTCCTCGGCTGAACCTTGAAAGGAGACAGCAAGACTCAGGAGCAGGGGAGGAGCATTGGGGTTCCTTCTGTCTTTCCTCAGATTCCTCACCTGCAAAGGGGTCAGGCCCCGGGCCACCTCCCCCTCCTTTGCTGACCTACATGTGCTCCCCTCAGTCCAGGTCTCTCACCTACCTGCGGCCCACTCCCACCCCACCAGCCACATCAGAGTGCTCTCAGTTGGACGGCCCTGCCTGGTGTGTCAGAGCTGAAAGTGGAAGTGGGGTGAATGTCCGTGAGGCCCACATATGTTCTGGAGGACAATCCCTCCTCCTTCCTCCCGCATGGTCAATAGCTTGGCCACTTGCAGTGCCCGAGTGTCCTGGCTCTGCTGTCCATATGCCTCACCCTTTGTGTAAGGCCCCACCTCTTTCATATTCCTGAGAGCAAAGGGAGCGGGAGAAGCCATGGGCAAGCGATTCCAGAAATCCCAGGGCTGAGAGCTGTGCGGGCTTCTGTGGGGTTCCCACTGTGGTGGGATCCAAGGTTCCCTCAGTTCTCCCTTAGGATCCTCCCTTGACTCTGGCAGGTGCTGGCCCCACCCTCTGCTGATGTGAGGTCCTGCTCTTTATACCCAAGCCCCAGACTGTCAGACCCAGATGCACCAATGAGAAAATGCCCCCTAGGATCATCCTCCATGAGGCCTGCCAGATGGACTGTGGAGGGCCCTGGGCCCACCCTCTGCCGTACTCAAGTATTGGTCCTGGTACCGACCCGGCTGTGCAAGTCAGCGCACGCTGTGTGTGGTCATCCTCCAGCGGGATCCCAGCACTGACTCTGGTTTGGTTTCCAGGGTCCGTCCATCCTCCCTCAGGGTCCTCACCTTGACTCTGGCAGGTCTGTGGCACACCATCTGCGTAGATGGGGTCCTACTCCCTCTACCGAACCCCCAGAGTCTCTGAGACCAGGACTGACTCTGGTCTAGCTCCAGGGTCCCTGGCCCACCATCTGCCTACATGGGGACCTACTCCCTCTACTGAACCCCCAGAGTCTCTGAGACCAGGACTGACTCTGGTCTAGCTCCAGGGTCCCTGGCCCACCATCTGCCTAGATGGGGTCCTCCTACCTCTACTGAACCCCCAGAGTCTCTGAGACCAGGACTGACTCTGGTCTAGCTCCAGGGTCCCTGGCCCACCATCTGCCTAGATGGGGACCTACTCCCTCTACTGAACCCTCAGAGTCTCTGAGACCAGGACTGACTCTGGTCTAGCTTCCAGGGTCCCTGGTGCACCATCTGCGTAGATGGGGTCCTACATCCTCTACTGAACCCCCAGAGTCTCTGAGGCCAGGACTGACTCTGGTCTAGCTCCAGGTTCCCTGGCCCACCATCTGCCTAGATGGGGTGCTACTCCCTCTACTGAACCCCCAGAGTCTCTGAGACCAGGACTGACTCTGGTCTAGCTTCCAGGGTCCCTGGCCCACCATCTGCCGAGATGGGGTGCTACTCCCTCCACTGAACCGCCAGAGCAGTGATTGCGAACCTTTTGAGCTCGGCGTGTCAGCATTTTGAAACACCCTAACTTAGTTCTGGTGCCCTGTCACATATAGAAAATTTTTGATATTTGCAACCATAGTAAAACAAAGATTTATATTTTTGATATTTATTTTATATATTTAAATGCCATTTAAGAAAAAAAATCAACCAAAAAAAATGAGTTCGCCTGTCCCCTCTGACACGCGTGTCGTAGGTTCGCCATCACTGCCCCAGAGGCTCTGAGACCTGGACTGGAAGCGGAAGGGAGGAAGGGGGTGTGGTCATCCTCACACGTGGCCCCCCATCTGCTCTGGCAGGCGCTGGCCCCGCCCTGTGCTGACGGGGTCCCCATCCTCACAGCCACCCCCAGACTCTCAGACCCGCCTGCGGAGGTCAGGTAATGTCCCGCGTGTCCCCCTCCCGAGTCCTGCGGGGTGGCTCTGTGGGGGTCTGGGGTCGTCCCATCCCTGGCAGCGAGCTGAGCGGGACTCTCGGAAGCTGCTCTGCCCTCCATGCTGAGGAGAGGCCCAGCTCCTTACCACCGCCCTTCCCAGCCCCCGCTGTGCAGTCAGGACACCCCGCATGGCCCCCCACCACGGGGCCCCTCGTGGAGGACAGCAGAGGCACGTGGCCTGTGCGGCTTCCCGCTGCGGTGCGGTGCGGTGGGACCCGGATGCTCACCGGGACTCCCGCAGGGCCCGGGCCGCCTCAGCCCAGGTCTGCCCCGCCCCGCAAGGCCCTGCGTCCTGGGAGCCCACGGGAAGGTCACAGACGCTGCCTACCGCGGTGGGCCTAACCCCCTGCGGGCCCGGGGCTGCCTCTGCTCCTGACCGCAGGGGCCCTGGGTCCAGCCCCGTCTGCGGGACCCGGGTGGCCTCGGGGCCTCCTCCCACGCAGCCGCCCGCCACATGGACCCTGGAGGCCCTGGGCCCGCCTGGGCCATGTGGAGGGACGCGCCTCGCCCCACACCCCCGAGTCCCCAGACCTGGCTGCGCCAACCGCCAACCCCGACCGGCCGCGTGTGGCCACCCCCAGGGGGCTCCCAGGACGGAAACCGTTGTCCCAGGGCCCGGGGTCCCTCGCCCTCCCCAGCACCCTCACCTGGACTCGGGTGGGTCCGGGGCCGCCCTGGGGGATGTGAGCGCGCTCAGGCTCTCCTGGGCACCCCTAGAGTCTCTGAGACCCGGATGCGGAAGTGAGGAACGTGCTCGGGCAGGGTCTCTGAGACCCGGATGAGGCGTGTGTGGTCCCCCTCCCAGAAGCCCTTCCATGTTGAGCCTGTGGTCGGGGCAGGGTCACTTCCTCCCCCTGCTGCTCACCGTGACTCTAGGCAGCTTCTGCCCCCCTCTGCTAACCAGAAGCCCTGCTCTTGATGGGTGTCCCCGCCTGAGGCCCGTCCTGGAAGGCAGGTGGACCCAAACAGAATCGGAGGTTCTGCTGCCTGCCTCAAGGCAGCCAAAAGCAGGGGGCAGGTGCTGCCGAGAAAGGAAAGGATTGATTCCCGAGTCACCTGACCTGGGCCAATGGTGGACTCCTGTCCCAAAGACCACTGTCCTCCTCCTACCTAAGCCCGCCTTTCTTGTTGTTGTTCTCATTGGAAACAGTGTTGCAGAGGTCCCCTATTCCTCATGGACCCCTTCCAGCCGGCACTGGCCCCTGCCCCAGGCCTTCACTACACTATTGCCTTTGTCCATGTGTTATGCACCCAAGTTCTTTACTCCATCTCTTCCCACCCACCCCCGCTTTCCCTCTGAGATTTAACAATCTGTTCCAGGCTTCTAAGTCTCAGGATCTATTTTCTTCATCAGTTAATTTGCTCTTTGAACCCCACATAGGAGTGAGATCCTGTGATACTTGCCTTTCTGGCTTAATTCGCTTAGCATAATAGCCTCTGGGTCCTTCCATGCTGTCTCAAAGGGTAACAGATTGCTGTGCCCAGATCTAGGCGACTGTCCTCCTGAGATGCCTCTCTGGGCTCATTGACTGTCTCAAGGACTCTGACCTTTAGGGAAAAGGGAAAGCTACCAGGGAATACCTTGGTGATGTCACTCTTTTTGGTTCTGCTCATTCCTGGGTGTACAAAGAGAAATGTTTTAGAAGTGGTTAGTGTTTGGGACTCCTTTACACGTTTTCCCTCTCTTGGTCTGGTCCAGTGGTTGGCAAACTCATTAGTCAACAGAGCCAAATATCAACAGTACAATGATTGAAATTTCTTTTGAGAGCCAAATTTTTTAAACTTAAACTATA